GAGGTAAGACCCTACCGTTCTGGTTGCATTCATAGTGTTTTGGTGGAGTAATGTTAGCAAATTAAGAAGCACGTGTCTAACAGAGTAAGATCATTTACTTTGGGAGGGCAAAAATGTTTGCATGGCTGTCTTCATGTTACAAGGACAAAAGAATAATTAATTTAAACTTGCAATGGAAAAGTCCATAAGCTTTGCTTTTACTTTCCTAACTATATGTTTTGAGGCCTGTTTGACATTTTGAGACTTGCTCATGTACAAAATACTGTAGTATTTTTCCATATCTGAAAACCTCTAATAAAATATTTTTAGTTGAGTAGCTCTCTGTCCCAAGAAAGCTGCCCATACTAGTATATCTAATCCACAGGAATGTCTTTATCTCCTGCTTTTTCTCCAGCAGACACTATGTGCTATTTATATGATTTGTTCTGTTGGCTTTCATTTGCAGGCTTACGTAAAGCAACAAAGCCAAAAGCTTGTCTATCTTAAAATACAACTGTGTTTATCATTCACTGTAGAGATGAAACATGCTCCCTGCCCTCTCTGGTTTACAATCCTGCAATGCAACCTACTAGCTTGTAATTCTACATGTGTACAGGGATCCCCAGACTTTGCACTGAAGGATCAGGGCTTAAATATGTTTTGTCCATAACACAAAACACGATGAACAACAACAGAAAAAAAATCAGGGTGAAAAGCAGGGTTACAGAAATAACAGCCTATGGGCACTTTAGTTATGCATTCATCTGGATAACTGTTACTAAAAACTATTTGTTTATACACTAAAGCTGCGTATGGATTGGCCTATTACCTCTTTTTTTTTTTTTTTTTTAAATCTGAATAGCTAGTCAAAATTTGAGGCCTTGTAAGTTGTAGGGCCGCCCGGGGGGAGGGGAGGGCAATTTGCCCTGGGTCCTGCAGGAGCCCCCATGGGAGTTTTTTTCGGGGCTCCTGGAATGGGGTCCTTCACTCACTCCAGGGGCCCCGGAGCTTCTTCTGCTCCAGGTCTTCGAGGGCAATTCGGCTGCGGGAGGTCCTTCCGCCCCGGGACCCGCCGCCGAAGTGCCCTGAAGACCCGCGGCAGGGGGTCCTTACACTCCCGGACCCGCTGCCGAAGTGCCGGGTCTTGGGCGGCAATTCGGCAGTGGGGGCCCCCCGCCGCCGAAGACTCCAGGCCACCTGAATCCTCTGGGCGGCCCTGGTAAGTTGTTCCAGTTGGGAATAGAAACTGATCATGGAATCTGATATATTCTTTGATGCCATCTTGTTCATTCACAAGGAATGTACTTATCTTAGGGCTTTCTATAGTGTCGACCACCACAGTGTCTAGTCCATTAGTCTTGCTCAATTTAACTGAAAAAGCTGTGCTGTGAGACTCCCTCCAGCCCATTTGCAACCCATACATAGCTTGATTTAACACAGTGTAGAAGCTTTGGATTGCAAGAGAGGTATTTTGCAATCTCCAAATGCAGGGGGAACACAACAAACCAGGGGGTAGCTTCTTTGCTTACAGCCCCAAGTCTGTTTAGACAGCACCAGACCCAAAAGATCTCTTCAGGCTTCTCCAGGAGTCACTCTGTGCTTAAACTGGTGCTTGGCTTTCTTGCCCTCTTCGGAATCTTTTTGTTTCTTGTCTCCCCTTCTACCTCCAGTCATCCAGCTTGCACTGTTTTCCCCGTCACCTGTAACTGGTCAGAACAATACCGTGGAACCGTCCATGCACATGGTGCTAGTTTCTGGGCAGACTTCATTATGCCTTATTTCAAAGTGACCCCTTGTCTCTAACATCTATCTTAATTGAAGGGTGCATTCACACATCAATTGCAACAAGGTGTAATCCAGCTCATAACACTATACAGCAGTGGTTCTCAAACTTTTGTAGTGGTGACCCCTTTCACATAGCAAGCCTGTGTGTGTGGCCCCCTTCCCCCCCCCCTAGAAATTAAAAACACTCTTTTACATATTTAACACCATTATAAATGCTGGAGGCAAAGCGGGGTTTGGGGTGGAGGCTGACAGCTCGTGAGCCCCCATGTAATAGCCTCGTGACCCTCTGAAGGGTCCCAACCCCCAGTTTGAGAACCCCTGTTATACAGCAAACCTCAGTGTTCCTGAGAAACCATCAGTAGCTCTAATACTTTAAGATGTAACCAAAAGACATACTGGAGAGTGTTTATTTTAAGAATTAGTTATAGTTGCCCACGCTGTCCTGCTCCAGCCTGGAGAGTGGATCTTTCAAGTAAAGATTTGGCTACTGTTGCATGTTGCATTCACTTAAACATTTTTTTTTAAAGAACATTTTGCACTCTAATAATTCTTTAATGTCAAAAGTATTTTTCTTTCCTACAACTAAAAACGGCTTTTGGTTTGTTGAAATTTAAAGGGCTTAAATAAAAGTAGTTTTGGGGTAACACTAGGTATGAGAAATGTCAACCTAAAAAGGAACTTTTTGGAGAGTATTATGAGGAACTGAACTTAAGATTTAGAATGAAATGACTGTCAAGCTGCTTGTGTACTATGTCAGCAAATCTGCAGTTCATGTTTCTTATTGCTTTAGAAAAATAAGTTGTCATACTTTGTTTAAAAGAGTACTAATTATATATGCATTTTCTTGCATGCATTCCAATTAACTGGTTGTAAATATCTGTCAAAACTTCTGCAGCTCATATTTAAGAAAATAAACAAAACTCGACAATAGCATGTAAAATAGAAAGAGCATTAAGATATCAGTCTTCAGGTAGTGTGACAAGTTGACATTTTTTTAAAAGGCTAATATCCAATGACTATAGCTGTGAGTCTTTCACGGAGGTCAGGGAAGTTCTGGATTCTGTGACTTCCGCAGGGGCTGGTGCCATGGCCTTAGCGGCTGGTGCAGCCCTGGTGCCAGCCGCACCAGCCACTGCTCTAGCGGCCCCAGGCAAGTGGTCCCGGGCCCTGCCCCAGAGCAGTGGTCCAGGAGCTGCAGCAGCGCCCCGGACCGCTGCCCGCCTGGAGGAGGAGCTGCGGCGGTGCCCTGGGACACCCCCCGCCCGGAGGAGGAGCAGCATCCACTGGAGCACCTCTTCCTCCCCAGCACCTAAGATTTAGTTGGGGTATTTTTAGTAAAAGTCACAGACAGGTCACTGGCTGAGACTTTTTGGTTATTGCTGTGACCTGTCCGTGACTTTTACTAAAAATACCTGACTAAATCGTAGTCTTACTAATGACATTAGGTGTGTCTTCATTATGTAAATACTACTTCTTTAGATGTCCCACCTATGTCATTCACAACAGTGTTGCTAATGCTGTCCATTACTACTGAAGGTAACAATTGCAACATCCCAAACATAGTACAATTTTCTGTAAATCTCAAATTCTCTGCTAAATAAAAAGCCCACCAGACTGTTAATTTAAAAACTACTTAAAGTCTTTAATAATGTCTTGGGTAAATATAGAAAATGACTGCTCTAAGATCTAGTACACTTAATACAAACGCTGAGAACCAATATTGCTGATTAAGTATAGAAAACACTTCTCACAATTATGTATGTGATTTTTGGGACCAAATGAGTCTGATGTTCTATTTCTAAACCTGTAGTTGGATTAGCCATCAATTTGTTTGGCTGAACAGAGGAGCAATTAGTCATGCTCTCCTCATGATGTGTAATTATTCTTTAATTCACATAGTTCTCACAGCTTGACTGTATTTTTATTATGTCTTGTAGTATCATTTACTTTGCGCTAGGCATGGTTGAATTATACAGCTCCTGCCCTGAGGACCTTCTTGTACAAGTCTACCTTTTTAACCTCTTGTTTGCAAATATTCACAGCTTTCACTCTACTCCTGTCCAACTCATGAGTCTAAATATGTGGAGGAGCCACAAACCCAGTTGGAAAAGGGGATCTCAGATCTGCGGCATTCTGTGGAGCCATATACATCTTGGTGTCAGGTATAGCAGTTTTATCTTACAGAAGTACTGATATGTTTTCATAGTTAAGGACGATTGAGGATTTTGCTTATGACAGGATATTAAAACCTGTCTTGATCTGAATTAGTGAATTGGTTTTTTTTTTTAGTAGAAAGACAGACATCTCTGAGGGGTCCGAATATTTAAAGATATTTTAGTCATTAGGAAGTGTTTCTGGAAAAAGAAATGGTTCTTTTTGTCTGCAATTGTGCATGGTGTATTTCACCAAATCTTGTGCCTCTTTTTGGCCAAAAAAATAATAAAAAAAAAGTTTTAGAATCCTTCCCCCCCAGACTTCTAAACTCAACCTTGATCTCCCTTGTCTGAGCTGGAAAAACCTCCCCCCCACACACAATCTTTTAGCTCTTAAGCTTTTAACAATTTCTCCTTGCCTTAAAAATAGCAAATTATCTACGTGGTCAAATTTTAAGCATATAATATCACACCTCCAAG